AACAGGGCTGCTTTAAAACCAGGGGTATTGACAGGCCAGGGTAACTTTGATTCAAAATAGCTGAGCTCATGCACCAAAATTGACGTTATTTCTGACCTGTGTTTAAGAGATGAGCAGTATTTTTAGTTTTGTCAAATGAATGGCATGAATTCCCAGATGTCTGATGAATGTGCTTACTAACTAATGATAAATGTGAATATAATAATGTGCAACTTAAATGGTAGCTTTTAGGATTACTAAGGATTACCATGTGTAATTTTCATGAAAAAAATGAGCACTTCTGAAAGTAACCCCACCCGGAGCTTCTTTGCTTTTGGCTTAGGTATATCTCAGGTTCCAGCTTAGGCAGTAGGCACTTATTATGTACCCTGCACTAAAGCATACCTAATTGGTTGGCATTTGAGCAAAATATCTTAAGCCATTTTAAAGTTGTTAAAAGTCACTGTTTTATGATCAACTGTTGTTTATGAAAAGTTCATTTTGAGCAGCATATATTCATTCCACTTGGGCGCTCTGACACATTCTCAGGATTGGGGGGTTGGATCCGTAAATGCATCACTACCTATTGGTTGGCATTGCAGAAGCAAAATTATTGGGTGGCCTTAACCCCTGCAACGCCTCCCCCCCCATTGACAGAGCCCATGATTACGTTTTCCAGTCAACATGTTCTTGATCTTGCAACTTGTAAATGTCTCATTTGTGTTGATTTAATTTCTTTATTAAATGCTATGTAAAACAAGCAAACATTTTGCAATGAAACACAACACATCAAATGCAATGAATGGTGGGGTTAAGATGAAAATTACTGTAACACTAAAGCACCAGATTTTTCCAAGATTAAATTTGCTCTTTTCCATGTTTTTCAATACTTGGGATCCCAAAAATAATGTTAATAAGTGCAGCAAACAGACATGTGCATGGATCCGAATGATGGATCTATGATCTCAGTGGATGTCGAAGCAAAGTACAGGTTGGGATCTATGATCCCACCGGATCCGGTGTGAAAAATACATCTTGAATCTATGACATATGATCTGACGATAAATTAAGAACATGGATCTATGATCTGAGTGGATCCCACCATGTACAGTCTGTCTTAAAAGTACCGCGCAAAGTGACGGTGGATCCATCATGCCTGACCGAGGAAGGGCCTACTAAATTTGAGTCACTGAAGCAATTCACATCCTCGTCCATTCCCTAGGTCAATTGGTTCGGTGACTTTCAAATTATAGCAGCCCCTTCCTCAGTCAGGCTTGATGGATCCACCGTCACTTTGCGCGGTACTTTTAAGACAGACTGTACAGCCCTCAGCAGACTGCGTGGTAGGTATTCTTTTTCCGACAAAACTGATAATAATTCAAAAGTCAGGTTATCAGTCGGTCCAAACTCACTGCAAATAGATGCGCCATGCTCCTCCTTCGATTGGGCCTATCAATAAACAAAGCATACGCCTTGTGTGGCAACAAAATGTAAAAGTTCGTTTTGGGGGCAAATATAAACTTTTGGGTTTTGTTGCCAAACTGGATGGAAAATGCATACGATGATAATGCCAATCTAAGCTGCGGAGTCTCGCGCATCTTGCTGTTACGATTTCCGAGTGCCCGATAGCATAGTATTCGCGTTATTCTCGGTTTTGTCAAAAAAAGAATACCTACCACGCAGTCTGCAGAGGGCTGTACCACATTTGAAACCATGTTTTAATGGGTTTCTATGCCAATAAGTGACACAAAACTGTGGATTATGACGTGCGATCACATAAAATCACTAAAACAGAACGTTTGTGAGTTGAAACTTGAAACAAGTTTTTTTTTATATATGTTTTAACCAGGGCTGCGGAGTCGATGGATTTTCGGCGACTCCGACTCCGACTCCGGCTTTCAAAAACCAGCTCCGACTCCGACTCCGACTCCGGGCAGAATTGTCGACTCCGACCGACTCCAACTCCCGACTCTGACTCCGCAGACCTAGCAGGGCTGGCTGCGGAGTCGACAGATTTTCGGTGACCCCGACTCCGACTCCGGCTCGGGTTTCTAAAATCGACTCCGACTCCGACTCCGACTCCGATCACAACTGTCGACTCCGACCGACTCCGACTCCGACTCCGACTCCGCAGCCCTGGTTTTAACAAAAAAAAATAAGTGAGGATCTATGATCTCACTGAATCTCAAGCAAAAAATGAGACTCGGATCTGTGATCCCCATGGATCTCTCGATAAATTACAGAGCTGGATCTATGGTCCCGACGGATCCGAGATCAGGATCCGTGGGATCAGATCCCAGATCCATTTTCTCGGATCCATGCACATGTCTGGCAGCAAATAGGTATCATAATTCATTGAAGTGAAGTTACCTGACCTTGCCTAGCAAATCTGAGTAAACTCAGCCTAATCCAACCTAACCTAACTTAACCAAACTTACCCTGACCATTTTTTTTAGAATGGAGATGCTATTGCTGAGCATATTTATTAGTATGTATATAAGAAATATTTTTAAATGTAGCCTGATGCTCATCATATATTAGTTAAGTTTTAAGCGAAATAGACAAAGAGAATAATATTTCGACCACGGGTCATCATCAGATTCGAATAGGAAAATCGAGCAGCCAGCCAAAGACAACGAACCAAGATCCAGATAGCAAAAATATGCGGTGTAACGTGCCTAATCAGATGACACCCTAAAAGGAGATACACAATATAAATAACAGCAACGGTACAAATAGACATGCCAAATACGTAACTGCCTTCCGCAATGGGTAACGACGGATACAATGCATACCGCGTTGTATCATGTCGCGTACATAGTTACAAATCATACGATGACGAGTATGATAACGGGTAAAGTAGACGCCACGATGACGTGTTTTTATTCAGCAGCGGTTTTCTATTTCTAATCTCAATGGATTCTGTTATTCTAAGATTTGCTTCGTCCTTACATATGTCCAGAATAGTGATTTCAAATTGCTCATTTTTGGCTTGAATTGTCGCATGCGCCGTCAACATATGATCACCAAGGTCAGTCCCACTCCTTTTGTTTCTAGCATCACCCAAGTGTTCCATAAATCGTGTCCTTATCATGCGTCTAGTTTTTCCAATGTATGTACAATTGCAAAGTTTGCAGGTAATTTGATAGACAACGTTCTTAGTGTGACATTTACCATCCAGTCCTCCGTTACATGTATGGCATACTTTCCGGTCATATCAGGCCCCCAGGAGTTTTCTCTGACAATAACTTTTGATAGAGACAGCTAGAGCGATGAGAACACCTCAGATGTGTTAAGCTCGACGATACGGATCGACTGATATGCAACATGACATTTTCCGGTCAGGCCATGACTTTGACCTGAGGTCACATTTTCAAAATGACCTTACAAGGTTAAATTATAATTCTTTCGACGCGTCTCGACGAGGGGAACACGATGCGCTGGCAAATTAAATGTCGTCTTTTCCCTGAGTCAAAAGTTATTGCAGAAAAATGTTTTTCATAAAACCGCTATTTTTGGAGTTCTTGCCCTCTGGAGGCTAAACCGTTGACCTGAGGTCAAATCTGAGGACATTATGGCGAAATCGCGTTAAAAGAGCTATCGAATGCGCTTTTCCGAGGTCAAATCTGGGGACATTATGGCAAAATAGCATTAAAAGAGCTATCGAATGCGCTTTTCCGCGCCGCTGTAGCTCTATCGGTTCCCAAGTTAGCCGCTGGCAGTTTCCAAAATTGTTGAAATGGACAAAATGTTACCTTTGATGGCCTCTGGCGACCTGGGCCCTGTTTCGCCGGTGACGTAATGGTTTCGCGCGAGCTGACGTAATGTGATGAGGTCACACTACTGACGTTTCGTGTAATCCGTAAGCTGCGTTTGGAACAGAGTTGCTGTCTCGTTGAATGCGTTTGATAACATTTGTCTGATCGCACGGCCGTAAAGATGTTAGCAGCAATATTTGATGACATCACACAGATTGACGGCGTCATGGTTTGTTGATGTTTCCATGGAAACCCAATTTGACACGTGTGATAGCAGCGTGCTGCTATCACCGGTGAAACAGGGCCCCGAGCTTTGACCTGATCTAAAAATGACCGAAGTGTTATTTTTGGCGTTCTTTCGAATGCCGCTTACTGCGTCTCGCTACGTGGCCCAGGAGCCGAGTTAGACGGGGGGGGGGTTCAGAGTTCAGACCCCCCCCCCTCCCGGCCCGGCGTGGAAGTCGCGGAGCACCGGCCCGGCGCGGGTTAATTGACAGAATATGAAAGCTACCCATGCCGTGCTGCAGCTACTTTGCACCATTAATTGTATTGCTTAGGATAAATGCGTTGGGTATACAGTGGAATCCGACAAAATCGATGGCGCCCGGGCTTCGAGCGAATGGCCGGTGCCTTAAGTGAGTTTGCCTGCCGTGTTCTGCGACCGTGGAAGCTGTCCGAAGTCGCTGTTAGCTGCACTGTCGTATAATCTAACAAGCATTCAACGCACCCACCCGCGCACGAATATGTGATACCTACCTGGAAGACACGCAGGTCAAGTTTTTGGCATGCCTGAATAGCGTGAACCTTAGGTGCGAGGACGAAGGGACTACGATGCCTCACCCGGACGAAGTACGCCTGCATTATACACTGGTATATTTAATGTTTAACGACCAAACAAACAAACGAAGGAAGGGAATCGTAAACTAAGTATCAAACGAACAAGCAAACATTCACGAACAAAAACGCCAAACCCTGAAACAGTGTCAGGCGGTTTTAACTCGCTATTATCGTCGTTGTTCTACGCCACACAAACACCATGACGGCATCCGAAGTCAGATCTGGTTTATTTTTCTCCCCATCGACGGCGGCGGGGCGCCGAAAGGTGGCGCCAGCGGCGATCATGGGGGGGGGGGGGCCGCAGCGCCTGAGCTGCGGCCGGAGAGAGCGGCCCTGAAGCAGTTCCGCCGGTGTCTGGCGTTGGACTTGCCAGGCATACAGGACACAAAACATAGATAATACATACATAGGTACAAGACATACTCCTCACTTGAACTTTGCCAACCACTGATCGTATGTTAGATCAGGGTTGGCAACGGGACAGAAAACCTTGTTTCGGCTTGGGCCGCCCTTCCCCCGTCTGTGCCCCGTGTCCGCCGTCAGAGCGCCTTTGCACTGGCCGCAGGTGTTGGTGGGCTGCCGGCGCGTGTAGGGCCTCTTGGCGGCGGTGTCGTGGCCGGTGTCCTCGGCCGGGCGACGGCGGGTCTGCGCCTGTCCGACCGTGTCGGCAGGCAGGACGAAGTGGTGCGGTGGGCGGCGGCAGTCCACCCGCACCACCTGCACCTGCATCAGCCGCGGCGCCGGTGCTGGCAGGGCGACTGCGGCGATCGGACGGGCTGGCGGCAGCTGCACGCCCTGGAGAAGAGCTCTCCGCTCCGTCTCCTTCTGGTGCTCGTTGAACCTGGCGGCGAAACAAAAACAAAAATTGAGGGGTTTACTTTATACTGTTGATTGAAATGTTCGTTGGGGTCCTTGTATTCCAGAGCTCCTCTTTTGACGCTCCGATCTCTCAGGATGTCGACTTGCATCCCACCGCCTCATCCCAACTCGGTTCAGCGCATTTAGGGACAGAGTCTGGATGTATCCCGTCAGCATTGGCGTCCTCAGTAGGAAGACCATGCGGTAGATGCGCGCCGGTTTCCCAGTGCGAACAATTTTAATTTTCTGATACTCAGAAGCATTGTGAAACGTAATTGTTACAACACTGAATGCGTGTATTGTTCTGGCTTTAACACTCGCTGATAAATTTAGCAAAATCAGGTAATGAACGGGTCCGGCGCCCCCCCCCCCCCCCCCCCAGCAGTAAAGCCGCACACGGGCGAATATGATGGTAGTATTTTTATAACATATCTTACACCATTATTGATGAGAGGATGGACACTGGACATTCTATCAAGTCTCTGCATCTGCAGGATCGAGCGAACATATAACTCACCAGGACGTGAGCGTGTGCTGGTTCAGAGCCGCCAGGTTGACTCCAGTCCGCTGGGTGATTGCGGGACATTTGAGGAGAATGTCCCGCAGGCTGGAGTGGTGGGCCAGGATCTGCGCCCAGCGCGACTGGACCGACCCTCCGCTGCGCCTGGGGTTTCGGTACCGCTCGCAGAGCAGGCGGACGACCGTCTCAGCGAGCCGGTTCAAGTCGGGTCGTTGCGCGGGAACCGCTCCTCGCTTGAGTGAGACTCTGTCAAATAGAAATCCATCATTAAGTTCACTTTCACATGTGTTCTACGAAATTCTACGGAGCACACGTTGGACATACCTTCCAAATTGAAGGTCCCTGACAAGCAGTATGCAAGTTGTGTTTCGTGAAAATCAATAATTAAATTATGTGATGACGTGGACGCGTTTCGTATTTCTTTTTCATTACATCAGCATGTCCAGGTTGTGACTAACATGCGTACAAAATCCTACCAGCATGGACAATATCTCACTTTTATTGCCTTTTAATAAATATGACATAATTTAATAGTTCCAATAATATGCGTGCAAACCCCAATTATTCTGCCCGATGGTGTTTCATTTGAGAACAACGCTTACAATGATAGTCCTATTTTAAAATGCGGGATCCTTACCTCCGTGCGCTGTCCACGCCCGGCACGACACCAGACAGCCGACTGGTCTTCGGCTGTTTAAACCGGCCAGTCGTCAGCCGGTGCTGGTACCGCGGGGAGGCCGCCACCTTGGCTCTGTCGCCGGCGGAGAGCTGGTGCCACAGGTGGACGATGGACTCGGCCTCTTCGTCGGCGACATACCCCCGCGAGCAGTCTAGGCCGACGAGCACCTGCGCCAGGCGGTGGCACTCGGCGTACCCCGGCTGGTGGTCGGGGCCGGTCACGTCCTTAAAACATTCATGGAAAACGAGGGTGTCTGACAAGAGCATGTCACCTTCATGAACACATCAGAACATGCATTTTGTGCACTTACAGTTAAAGCAATTTGATTGTGAGATAAGTTACAACATACCTGGCGAGCCGGGTCGCGGTTCCCGAAACTTGAGGTGGTGGCGGAGCCAGCGACGGTGGGTGGCGCGGTGGCTGTGCCCGGGACGCCGGCAGGGACCGAGCCAGGGGCTCCGGCGGTAGTCGGAGGAGCCGACAGCAGCTGAACGCCGTGCTGAGAACAGACGATTTATCCTTTTATAGCAGACTGGTGTGACCGGGCCGGGATGCATTTACACTCGTGTCAGCCGATATAACTAATTTCATAATTAAGAAGAAAAAAAGATCCCGAGTGAAACAGAAAGGTCGAAGCAACTCGAAGCAGCCGCACCTCCGGAAGACCCTCGGCTGCCCAGTCTGGCGTCAGTGGGATGGCGGGCGACTGAGCGGCGGCCACTACTGCACCAGGGCCGGGTGAGCTGCGTCCCTCCAGGTCCGGCTGTGCGTCAGCTGGTGACCAGCTGGCAGCGTCGACGGCAGGAGGAGCCGGTGGAGGCTGGTTACCATGCTGAAAGTAGAACGGGCGAATTTAGCGCTCAGGGTGATTGGCATGATTAATATGTGCTTGCGCCCGGTGTATAGCTAACTGATGGACCATTCATCCGTTTGAGGTGGAACACACGGGACTATGTAAGCGAGCAATTAGCTGTCTGAATTAACGCTGATTTGCATATCGCTACTGGAAGTGTAACTATGGAAACTTTTGAGGTCGCAGGTGATCACTTCCAATCCTGGGGAGCTTAATGGTTTTATTTGATTGGACTCAAAACGGTCTGAAAGAGCTGAAAGTCCCGTCCTTAGATCAAACGAGGCTGACTACCTACCCGTGAGAGGTTGTGAGCTCTAGCGGCGGCGGGCCACGAGGCTGCAGCTGCGGCGGCTGCGGCTGCAGCGGGCCCCGGAGCAGCAGCTGTGGCGGCTGCAGCAGCAGCGGGCCCCCGAGCCGCAGCGGCAGCGGGCCCCGGAGCTGCAGCGGCAGCAGGCCGCGGGGCTGCAGCGGCAGCAGGCCGCGGGGCTGCAGCGGCAGCAGGCCGCGGGGCTGCAGCGGCAGCAGGCCGCGGGGCTGCAGCAGCAGCGGTAGCGGAGCCCGGTCCTGAAGGTGCAGCTGCGGCGGCTGCAGCAGCAGCGGGCCCCCGAGCCGCAGCGGCAGCAGGCCGCGGGGCTGCAGCGGCAGCAGGCCGCGGGGCTGCAGCAGCAGCGGTAGCGGAGCCCGGTCCTGAAGGTGCAGCTGCGGCGGCTGCAGCAGCAGCGGGCCCCGGAGCTGCGGCGGCGGCCGGGCCCGGAGCTCCAGCGACGGCGGCTGCGGCTGCAGCGGCGGCGGAGCCCGGAGCTGCAGCGGCGGCGGGACTCTGAGGTCCGGCGGCGGGATTCTGAGGCCCAGCGTCGGCGGGACTCTGAGGCCCAGCGTCGGCGGGACTCTGAGGCCCAGCGTCGGCGGGACTCTGAGGCCCAGCGTCGGCGGGACTCTGAGGCCCAGCGTCGGCGGGACTCTGAGGCCCAGCGTTGGCGGGACTCTGAGGCCCAGCGTCGGCGGGACTCTGAGGCCCAGCGTCGGCGGGACTCTGAGGCCCAGCGTCGGCGGAGCTGGGGACTCGGGCGGTAGCGGGTCCCTGAGGTCCGGCGGCGGCGAGGCTGGGGACTCCGACGGGAGCGGCCGGGAGAGGCGTCTGAAGCTGAAACACAAGCGATGTAGTCATGAGCTCAGTATGTTTCGCGATCCTAAGTTACCTGTACACCTATGAAATAAGTTATATGCTTGCTTCATTTGGGATGCAGAAAGTAATAGGGTAAATAACATCCATCAAAGGGTGCAGTATATCGCAAAATTGAAGTAGTTGCATTTAGCTTTAATTTTTAATCATATTGTTATGTTTTGGGTAGTGGGTGTGTTGATAGTCGCAGATTCGCGTTAGACAAAGATAAAAAGTGGCGCGAGCATGCCAAAACACTAGCCCTGCAGTTGGTTTTGCGTAAAAATGCGATTTGACGAGGCTCGGGCAGGTCGAAGTTACAGCGAAAAAGTCGCAGTCGACGGTGCAGCCACCTACATGCCAATAACGGGCACTATCATATCGTGATAATTGGGGTAGTTTCAAATGAGAAATGACTTCTATTTTTGTTCAAACTGCTTTAGAAGAAATAAAACAATTCGGAAACATACATTTTTCCCAAATATCGCGTTCCATTTTTTCCTGTTGAGTTGTTAGGAAAGTGGTAAATTTCAAGGTTGACGGCTAAAAAACGAAACAGGAGGAACAGAGCAGGAATCACCAAGACGTGTGCCGCGCCGATGTTGTAGCCTGTAGATAAGGGGTGAGCAACAGAACCAGCATACCTAACGATTTTGATTAGTGATAGAAATTTTTCTCTAAATGAAAGACTATTAGTAACTCAGGCAAGCCTTCTAATATAGGTATCAACAGGGTTGCGGTAAAAGGTACAATCGATGGCACATTACAATTATTCTGAGTTGGGAAACAACACTCTTCAGATACCTACCATCAACAACGTCACTATCTCCTATATGGGAGCTATATCATCTGATTCCAGCGCTCTGAAAACAAACAGGTTATCACCAAAAATATCTGTATTAGCGCCTACCGATATATGCTGAATGACGCTATCAATACCCGACATTTGTAAAAGGTGATTCGCCACACAGATCGCCGGCGTCTGAGGGGTTGAATCAGTGAGCCGGATTGCCAGCGACTCACCGCTGAACTACCGGGCATAACAAAACGGACGATGCGACATGACTCAGAGATCATCACAGACGCAACGATTAATGTAACCGAAGGCCATCTGATCTCGTGCGGAACCCTCGTTCAGATACGTAATATCGCTATCTGCCACCTCGCGGTTCCCTTGTCAAGCCGAACTCATAGGCGACGGAACGGGGAGGGCACCGTGCCCCCTTTGATTTTGGCATTTTAACATTAGCCCTATGGGCGTTGCATAGAAAGAATATGGGACCAAAAGTCGGCAGTGCCCCCCTTAATTGAAGGTATTCCGCCGCTACTGGCCGAACTGATGACACGCAATGGCCAGTCAGTCACAGCTCAGCTTCCTGCGGAACAGGAAGACACATTCAGTGAGAGTCGGTGGTCATTGACTGTGTCAATATTATTGACACGGTGACTAAAGAACGGTTATATTGCGCCAATAATGTTGCCAGTAGCAGCACCACCAATCTTTTGAACTAAAATCACTTGCTATCGGTGAAAAGAAACCTTCTAGCTATTTTTTCAAGCAATACGCGAAATAGAGGGGATTAGAAAACCGAAAACCCAAATATTAGCACTAGATTACATCGATCTAAAATTTTGGCCAACATTTTTTAAGCATACATCAGAGGAGCTGTTGGCGGCTTACCGTCGCGTCTGTGATGATCTCTGAGTCATGTCGCATCGTCCGTTTTGTTATGCCCGGTAGTTCAGCGGTGAGTCGCTGGCAATCCGGCTCACTGATTCAACCCCTCAGACGCCGGCGGTCTGTGTGGCGAATCACCTTTTACAAATGTCGGGTATTGATAGCGTCATTCAGCATATATCGGTAGGCGCTAATACAGATATTTGGTGATAACCTGTTTGTTTTCAGGGCGCTGGAATCAGATGATATAGCTCCCATATAGGAGATAGTGACGTTGTTGATGGTAGGTATCTGAAGAGTGTTGTTTCCCACCTCAGAATAATTGTAATGTGCCATCGATTGTACCTTTTACCGCAACCCTGTCGATACCTATATTAGAAGGCTTGCCTGAGTCTGAGTCTTTCATTTAGAGAAAAATATCTATCACTAATCAAAATCGTTAGGTATGCTGGTTCTGTTGCTCACCCCTTATTTACAGGCTACAGCATCGGCGCGGCACACGTCTTGGTGATTCCTGCTCTGTTCCTCCTGTTTCGTTTTTTAGCCGTCAACCTTGAAAATTACCACTTTCCTAACAACTCAACAGGAAAAAATGGAACGCGATATTTGGGAAAAATGTATGTTTCCGAATTGTTTTATTTCTTCTCAAGCAGTTTGAACAAAAATAGAAGTCATTTCTCATTTGAAACTACCCCAATTATCACGATATGATAGTGCCCGTTATTGGCAATGTAGGTGGCAGCACCGTCGACTGCGACTTTTTCGCTGTAACTTCGACCTGCACGAGCCTCGTCAAATCGCATTTTTACGCAAAACCAACTGCAGGGCTAGTGTTTTGGCATGCTCGCGCCACTTTATATCTTTGTCTAACGCGAATCTGTGAGAAAAACCCCTCTGTCGACACACCCTCCGGCACTCTTTAATTAACTTACTGGCATTTCGAGACCATCGTACGCGTCGGTCACGAAGATGTCCTCGACGTCCTCGAATCCCTCGTCGAGGTCATCGCCAACATCGTCATCCTCGCCGTGCTGCGTGTCGGGGTCACCCACCCTGTACTCGTCGAGCCTACGGCCCGTCTGTCCGTACAGGTAGGCGACCCCGACGAGCTCACCTGAATGTAAACAGAAGCATGTGTGAAACATTATGTTTCACGACTTGTGACAACTTGACACGTCTTGGTACGTAAGTTCGTTTTATGTATATAGGTATTAGGTAGTAAATAATTTTAGCTGATCGGTTGTCGCGGCAGCGGCAACCTTTTCATAAGTTCAAATTCAATGGAGGCTAGCGGACTTAACTGCATTCGATCATTGGCATTAGTTGGCAGTTTTTGTACTGTATAATTTGTGTGACTGTAGCATGCGACTTTTTACCCGTGTATCGAAGAGGCTCGCTTCTGGTGACTAGGTCCCTCTTGAGCACCCTCTGCGACAGGTCGTTGACGGCTGCCCGTATCCGGCCGTCGTAGCACCGGACCTCGCGGGCGCTGTCCTGTCCGATCGCCGCCAGGTGACGATCCGCGTTCCATCTAACCAGACCCTCGATCAGGAAGGCCTGGAAGTGGAGGTCGCTGGCTGTAGTCCCTGGAAAAGAATAGAATTAAGTATTAATGAGATACAGGATAAAGTGCTTAGCTTAACCCTATTCCAGAAGGCTTTCGACCACCCTTCAGGTTTCTATTGTGTCATTGCCAAGCGATGTTAGATAATTAGTTCATATTGTGACGTTTCGTGAATATTCATTGCGCACAATCTGGCAAAAAGGTCGCCGGGTCAGGTCAGGTAACCTTTGTTGTATCGGCTTTGTTGACTCCGCTTCAGAAAATTATGCACGCTAGAGTTCGAGGTTTTCGCGAATGGTTTTACTCTCCCAGGGGTTTAGTGGGGTATCAGTTATGTGCAATATATAACTTACAGGTCATCTTAGGAGCTAGATGTCGTTTCGAACGTTGTCGCGAAGTAGCAGTCCATGATAAGGAAATTAGATATCTGCACATGGCGCAAACCTACTCGCCTGGTCAAGATGCATCGTTTTATGTGACACGATGATATTGGTTTGACCTGACCTCAACCTGAGGTTCAATTTCAAATTGACCGGTGAAGGTCATCACGCATTTGTTTCACATTGCTCCAACGAGAGTTTATGTCTCCATGTTCTTAGTTCAAAAGTTACATCCCAAGAAAGATTCCGTGAAATAGACATCTCTTTTCATTTAGTTAACACTTTTATATATACTTACCGGGGATGAACCTCACGAGATGGCTGTGGAAGCTCTCCGTGGAGGTGGTGCCGCGAGCTGTCCGGAAACAGCTAAGCTGCACGCCGCCCTTCATCAGGGTGCCGGTGACACGGTGCAGGGGCACCCCCGGTACGTCCTGCAGGCAGGCGACGTGCCGCTTTTGCTGCTCCCAGATGGTCCAGATCCGAGACTGGTCGAGCAGCGGCAGGCCCATGCTGTCGACACCCGCCGGGCCGGACAGCAGGCGGAGCAGCTCGTCGATGGCGCGGGTGGTGACCTCCACACCACGGGTCCGGCGGCGGCAGTGGCGCTGGTGCTCCGCCTTGGTCACCGCCCGCTGGACGACCTCATCGCTGAGGTTTGTGATCCCGGTCGCCGCCAGCTCCTGCCGCTTCGCCCGGATGAGGGCCGCCAGGTCTCCTGGGTCAGTCTCGAAAATGGCGGCCGAGAGACGACTCATCAGGAGCCCGTATAGCTGGTGAGCGTCGGTGGTGACGCCCGCCGCCAGTCGCCGCATAAAATGCCAGGCGTCGAGGCGCACGGGCATGCCCTCCCAGCCGGGAAAGGCGTGCAGCGCAGGGGCCGGCGTCGTCTGGGTGGCACCGCAGCAGTCGCGGTCCACATACAGGACCCGCGGCGGCATCACTTTCGCGTCGCGGTAGCGCGCCACCAGGCCTCTGCCCATGTCCAGGAGGCCTGCGCCCTCGGTGGCGGTGAGAACGCAGTTCAGCACCAGGCCGTGCTCGTTGGTGACGTTGGTGGCCCAGCGAGCGGTATTTGCTGCAGCACCGGCGAGCTTCTTGGCCACCTGCGGAACAGGCATTTGTGAGCATATTTAAAAAAGTTTAATACTTGTAAAAGGCGGTGTGCCTCAGAACGACGGTTTATTATTCCCCACTCACACACATATTCGAGCGCTACCAGTGCTGCCAGAGGACTCCCAGACTCTCCCCTACGAGGCCCCGGCCTGTTCCCCAGATGTTCAGGGGAAGGGTTGGCGGTCTCGGCGTCCCAGCCGTTTGCCGACCGCCTAGCCTATAAGCGACACGCTAGACGCCAAGCCAATCCACCCACTACAATACTTTAACCAAACAAGTCGGTGACGTGTCTTACGGCCTTAGAATATAATACGGCAATCGTAGGGGTAGGACCAAATATGAAATAAGTGAATTAATCAAGACATGCGACATGCGTATATGTATTATATCACTTCCTATAAAAAGTTTGCAAACAATATCACTGGTCGATGTAGCTCTTCTTACTTAACCCTCGCCCGCACATGGGGGGGGGGGGGTTGCCACCCCCCCCCCCCCCCCAGGTAGTCTTTCTGCTCTGCACTCAACATTTTTAGCGCTAGAAGGCTGATTTTTCGTATAGCTGCTCCTCTATCCTTTCTTGATGTCCACTGAAAATTTCAAGTTTCTCTGATTTTTGGTTTCGGAGATATGACCTTGTTTTTCAGGTCATGTCATGACCCAAATGGCCAATTCTCAACATCTTGCGATTGCCATGGGCCTTGCGAGCTTTTGACACCCTGATTTCGGCCTTTTTTGCCAGTCTTACCTCCCACCTATCATGGAACATGTTGTTCGGCGATGTACAGGGGTCAAGGTCAGGGTCAAGGTCAACCTAGGTCATCTAAGATAATTGCGTTTTAGGCAAGCTGCATTTACTTTTTTTGAATTTTTTTTTACTGCATTTTTGGTAAAAGCTTCTCAGAGCATGATTTCATGTAATATGGACCCAAAAACAATCGGTGCACACATCAGTATACACACAGACACACACAGTCATACAAACACATATAATTGACCTTGACCTAACTTGACCTGAAATGACCTCAGCCGCAAAATTCTGGTCGTGTAGTGTGACAAAGAGGTTCTAGCTGGCCTGGCACCAGAAAACAGCATAGTCATCGGTATTTGATAAGCAGCGCACTTGATATCCAATGGTGACCCAAAACAGCAACATTTTTTAGTTTGACCTGACCTGGAAGGTCAATGACTGACCTGAGAAGGTAAAACTGGGTATCATTGGATTCGTCTCTTCCCAAAGAATCTTTTTGGTCTTTACCGCTAAGCTCTATCTCCAACAGGAACGAAATGGCGCGGGGGGTGCCAACCACCCCCCCCCCCCATGTGCGTTCTAGGATGGGAAAATGGCATGTGCGGGCGAGGGTTAAGGTTTGGCTATTAAATGCAACTGAGTGTAAGTGATCGTATGCGTACAAGTTTTTCTTGGATTGACTCACATTCGACTCCTTGCGGCCCTATGCAGTTCCATTATAATGCATCATGTGGCTTCACAGGACAAATATAATGGCGTACGCTCATACCTTGCGGGTCGAGTCCATTTTCAGGATCTCTCCGAACACGCTGGTGATTGCCGCTAGATATTCCTGATGTCTGGTGAGGGCATCTTGTAAGTATACCCGCATCAGCCAGCGCGCACTGGGTACCACCGGGTGCGGCGGCGGCGGCGCGAAGGGCAGCTCCCATCCATCAAAGGCCGCCGATCGCATGGCGCAGTCGCCCAAGTACCTCAGTGTGTGGCTGAGGTACTCCTCCCCGACCTGCTCGGCGATTTTCTTCTGGAGCTGGGCCGGGCTGTTGCCCAGTCCCCGCTCCCGAAGCAGCCGGATCACCGCTTTGTCGCACGTCAGTCTGAAACAAATCATGCATTAGTAAATTTATGCACCATTTACGATTGCCTTGCAGCGTTTCGCCTCGTGGGCAGTTCGCTAATCTGCGCATGTATTGAACGTTTGACGCAGCCGGGTAGCGATAGGCCTATAGCCAGCCCTTATCACTTTTCTGACCGGTGTTGTCCTGTCCCCTAGCGGCCAGTTGTGCACCTGTGTTTCGATTGCCACACGGGAGTGTCGCCAGAGTGGCGGCCCAACCGGCATTCGGCGGCCTTTGTGACGCTGAATTGTATGACATTGGCTCAGCGTAAGCTCTAGCAAGGACCGATTCGGAGAACAGCGCCGCTCATTTTCCGACGAAATTAGAACATCTTCAGGGGCACAGTAGTAAGGTTATTAGGTATGCACGTATTAGACATAAGGAACGCATTTTTGTACAAGTATTCATACATCGTAGTTATTCCCTTAGTATCCGTAGCATTTATACCCAGCACCAATGCTTACTTGTAGGTCAGCACAGCTGGGAACTGCCGCTGTCTGGCTAGATCCAGCTGTCTGATGAGGCGGTGGTCCCACGCAGTGTAGACCTTCTGGGGCCGGCACTGGGGACAGGTTAGGCGCTCTGTGGCCATCCAGTAGCCGAGCTCCAGGTCGACGACCTTCCTCAGGCGACTGTGCAGACCGAAGCTGTTAAGCAAAGTGCCGCACTCGGGGCACGACAGCAGCACGCCCCAGAAGCGCCGTGGCAGCCACAGAAATAGTGGTACTCCAAAGTACCGATCGGGGCCGGGCGGTGCCTGGTTGGCCACCAGCGGAGGTGGCGGCGGCCGGCACCAGAGCTCGGTCAGCCCGGCCCGCAGTTCGGCGTGAGTCCGTCCGCCGTGGGTGACGGTGCGGAACAGTCCGCCGATCCATGACTGCTCCCAGGGCGACAGGTAGCTGGCCCAGCCGTAGGGCAGAACGGGAGCGCGGGCGCCTTCATTCCCGCGTGGATGCAGCGGGTTCGATGGTGCCACCTGTGAAAGTTTTTTTTTTTCTTCAAATAATTCATGTGGTATCTATTGGACGGACCGAAATGCGTGCACGCTACCCAATCGACAATGGAATGACTAAGACCGTAGTGCACTGTCCTATCAATCACCCAAACAACATAAAGTTACTGAAGAAGAAAAAACGTTGCGCTTAAGTCATCATCAACTACGCCAGAATCCAACATTTGGTACGCATGTGCCGGCGCTTGCGACGTTTGAGAACATAATTTCTATTTTCAAAACTAAAAATGGTCTGAGTGAATCAAAGGGTCACTGGCGGATCCAAGGATGGGGGGCATTTGGGCCAAATGCCCCCCCCCCGCAGAGCCCGAAATTGACGAATATTTGCGGTTTTTGAAGGATAAAACGAAACCTAAACAACTTTCATTTGGAAAAGTGTGTTTTAAACTGCGCAGCAGTGCGCAAGGAACCGAAATCCGATGAGTTTTTGGAATTTGGATACACTTTTTTGGGGATATGCCCCCCCCCCTTCAAAAAATCAAACAGGCTGACTACATACCCGCGAGAGGTTGTGAGCTGCAGCGGCGGCGGAGCCCGGAGCTGCGGCGGCTGCGGCGGCAGCGGGCCCCGGAGCAGCAGCTGTGGCGGCTGCAGCAGCAGCGGGCCCCCGAGCCGCAGCGGCAGCGGGCCCCGGAGCTGCAGCGGCAGCAGCAGCGGTAGCGGAGCCCGGTCCTGAAGGTGCAGCTGCGGCGGCTGCAGCAGCAGCGGTAGCGGAGCCCGGTCCTGAAGGTGCAGCTGCGGCGGCTGCAGCAGCAGCGGGCCCCGGAGCTGCAGCGGTGGCGGCTGCGGCGGCAGCGGGGCTGGGAGCCCCGGCGGTGGCGGTGGCAGAGGCAGGAGTCGGCCGAGACTGAAACCAGATAACAAATCATGTGTTCAGATAACAACCAGTAAAACGCCTTTTGAGGCGACTAACGGAGCAAGCGAGAGGGTGAGGGGCACGTGTGAAATTTCGAGGGGGTACCTCCAACTGACTTGTGCACGGCGGCACCCTACTAACCGGTCTCTAGCGATGTGCCAAATTAGAGCACAATCGGCCCAGCCGTTCTCGAGATCTGGAAGCGGCACCCTGCACGTGCGCACGTGCAAAGTGGGTCCTAACTGACTTGTGCACGGCACCCTACTAACTGGTCCCTAGCCGTGTACCAAATTTGAGCGCCATCGGTCGGTCCAGCCGTTCTCAAGATCTGGAAACGACCCCTGCACGTGCGCACGTGCAGCAGCACCCCAACTCTGGCACATGGATATGCATTGCCAAGTGGGTGCCTACCTACATGCCAACTTTTAGCGCAATCGGCCGAGTAGTTACCGAGATACCGTAGTTTCGTGCAACTTTGGCCACCAAGGGCAACTTTGGCCCACGCCTGGAAAAGGGGTGACCTCTATCCAGACCATGTTGCTTAACATTGTACATAAACAGATGACTTAATTATTGAGGCTCAACGAAAAAAGTGGGCCAAAGTTGCACGAAGCTACGGTATTGCAACTATTACAAAACGGACACCTCTTCTTTTTGCACGTGGCACCTACATAAGGGATCATCCACATGCATCTAATGGCCATCTCGATTTTCGTGATTGGTTGTCTGGGATCCATGCCCATGTCTGCTTGGAAGAAGGAATGAAGCTACCCTACAAAAATTACCGCAGGTAAATCGGTCAAGTGGTTGCTGAGATATAAGCCTCGCAAAACCGTCCGCACGGCCGGCCGGCCGGCCGCTCATACCCAGAAATTTCCGTTAATCTACGAAAGACTCCGCTCGCTTCGCTCGCTCCGTAATCATGTTTTGGCAGCAAAGAACAAGGAATGCCCACACAATGAGGTACTCTAAGAGCAAACAACACAAGTGAACAGCCAGTTTGGGTAGCAATGACATATTATCTTGAATTGGAGGATCAAAAGCATGCGATAGCATGCCTTTGTATCCGGAAATTCCCATTGGTGGGTCGCTGAAAAAAAGTTCGGCTGAACCTGTTTGTCAGTGAGTGAGTATGTGAGTGAGTTTGTCCAAGCTTTTTTGGACCTGGAGTCAAAATGGGTGGACCGATCGGGACGAAAGTGGGACCGTTTGATTCGTCTCCGGCGAGGTAAACTTTTGGTGCTGGCCTCGATTCGCTCGGTGCTTCGTGGCACATGCTATTCCGCTTCAAAGTTTCGGTGACACGAAATTTTTTGTCAAGGCTTCAGGTCAACCCGAGGTCACGGGCAAAGCCATACTGGCGGGACACATCGGTAACACCTTGAACCAGTTTCCAGGGGGGTCACCGTCTACGAGGGGTGCAGGCTGCACGTGCTGGGGTCGGAAAACCGTTTTGACTTGACTTTTTGAAAACCGGTTTTTGAAGAATAAAACGAAACCTAAACAACTTTTATTTGGAAAAGTGTGTTTTAAACTGCGCAGAAGTGCGCAAGGAACCGAAATCCGATGAGTTTTTGGAATTTGGATACACTTTTTTGGGGATATGCCCCCCCCCCCTTCAAAAAATCAAACAGGCTGACTACATACCCGCGAGAGGTTGTGAGCTGCAGCGGCGGCGGAGCCCGGAGCTGCGGCGGCTGCGGCGGCTGCGGGCCCCGGAGCTGCAGCGGCAGCAGCAGCGGTAGCGGAGCCCGGTCCTGAAGGTGCAGCTGCGGCGGCTGCAGCAGCAGCGGTAGCGGAGCCCGGTCCTGAAGGTGCAGCTGCGGCGGCTGCAGCAGCAGCGGGCCCCGGAGCTGCAGCGGTGGCGGCTGCGGCGGCAGCGGGGCTGGGAGCCCCGGCGGTGGCGGTGGCAGAGGCAGGAGTCGGCCGAGACTGAAACCAGATAACAAATCATGTGTTCAGATAACAACCAGTAAAACGCCTTTTGAGGCGACTAACGGAGCAAGCGAGAGGGTGAGGGGCACGTGTGAAATTTCGAGGGGGTACCTCCAACTGACTTGTGCACGGCGGCACCCTACTAACCGGTCTCTAGCGATGTGCCAAATTAGAGCACAATCGGCCCAGCCGTTCTCGAGATCTGGAAGCGGCACCCTGCACGTGCGCACGTGCAAAATGGGTCCAAACTGACTTGTGCACGGCACCCTACTAACTGGTCCCTAGCCGTGTACCAAATTTGAGCGCCATCGGTCGGTCCAGCCGTTCTCAAGATCTGGAAACGACCCCTGCACGTGCGCACGTGCAGCAGCACCCCAACTCTGGCACATGGATATGCATTGCCAAGTGGGTGCCTACCTACATGCCAACTTTTAGCGCAATCGGCCGAGTAGTTACCGAGATACCGTAGTTTCGTGCAACTTTGGTCACCAAGGGCAACTTTGGCCCACGCCTGGAAAAGGGGTGACCTCTATCCAGACCATGTTGCTTAACATTGTTTCCGTTAATCTACGAAAGACTCTGCTCGCTTCGCTCGCTCCGTAATCATGTTTTGGCAGCAAAGAACAAGAAATGCCCACACAATGAGGTACTCTAAGAGCAAACAACACAAGTGAACAGCCAGTTTGGGTGGCAATGACATATTATGTTTATAATTACCTGGCCTGCAGCATGCCGCTCAAGCTGCAGATTGGGCTGGATGTTGGGGCGCTGCCTCAGCTCCGCCAGACGGCCGGACTCAACATATTGCCGGATCCGCTGGATCCCAGCCCTGTCATGGGGGTCCTAGAGCATGGGTTGGATGCAGCTCAGCGTACTGAATTCAGCCACCATCATGACCATCATGCTCTAAGTATGCAGCCCAAGCAAAGCATTTGCAAAACCAAGGAAATAAAAATGTCATGAAAAGCAGTGAGGTTAACAATAAATGGGATAAAACAAACTTGTGAACATAAGTTAACCAGCCACCACACCATTGCACTGTTGTGTTAGCTCGCAAGCACCAGCACTAAGCCTGGGGACCTGTGCCACAACACAGCACACCTTTAGAAGTAATAGGTACAACTCTCAGCCCAGGACACCACAGATGTACTCAAAATACTATACTGTGCTATTGTCCAAGCCATCCACCACCCAAAAAAAAAAAAACAGCAAAACAGCAAAACAGTGACATGTCCAACACCAAGCAAATAAATTAGTCAGAAATAGTGATTAGAAGCATCAAATAGGACCACCCAGTCACAGCTGACATTCTAGTGAGGATGCAAGAATGGTGCATGATGACCGGGGCTCTGAAAAAGAATGAGACCTAGTTACTCACTGAAAAATGGTGCACTGTTATGGTATGCGTATTGAGCAGGATTCTCTTAAAAAAAATAATTTAATCAAACACATGTGAACATGAGTTCATAAGGGCTTTCTCATACTCTATGGTGTATGTTTGCATCCCTGTACTAAAAAGAAGTCATTTAAAACCACAAGTATATGGGAACTAGGCATCAAGAAGTTCTCCATGAATTGTCTGCTCTTACCCTGTGCAGTCCACAGGTACAGCCTCTTTGCAGCGCAGCCACCCCCCGGAAGGTCAGCGGCTGCTGGCTGCCGCACTGCCGTGGGCATTTTTGGACCTGAAACACAAATACAATCATTTATTATGTTAATGATAATACATACCAATTACCATAGACCTCTGTATACCTCTGACTAAGAAGACTAAGATAAGAGACTAAGAAAATGTCGATTTTTCGGAAAGTTAACAATTGATGGTAGGCGATCTAAGCTCCATATGTCTCCAACTCACCTTGTTATACAGCTCAAGGAAGCTTGGCTTTCTAGGAGTAACTGAAAAGATATAAGCTACTCATCAACTCACCTTATTGTATAGCTCCAGAACATTCTTGGGCTGTCTGGGACCAGGCCTGCTGCCCAAGTCAGGCGTCCAATGCCCCTGGTCCGCAAACCTCCGCAGGCGCTGGAGCCAGATGTCTTTTCCGAAGGCCTTGTGGCTCTTGACCATTTTCACTGTCGGCAGTATTGAAGTGTTTTAGAGGGCCTTCAAATTAAATTAACATGTTTAAGGTTTAGTTTTAAGTTGAAAAACGAGATGGGTATTTCGGAAAATGTTTGCTTGAACTTGCTATACCTACTCTGTTCCATTTCAAGTTTGCAGCCGAAGCGCCCTGCTGAAAGCAGTGCGTGATTTCTGTGTATACAGCTCTTAACATTTTAAGACGCAAATTCTTGAGCGGAGGAGCGATCTGCCGAAGAAACTCCGACTGCAAGCTTGATATGGAACAGACTATAGTAGCTATAAAATCATGCTCAATATGTATGTGAACAGTGCACTGGTTTTCAGCATCAATATTCTATGTTTTTTTCAGTCTTCGGTCATACCTTACCATCATCACAATTCACAATTATGGTACACAGTATCTAATAGAATAGGTAGGTACCAACGTTGATGTGATAGAAATGAAACTGAATTGGGGCCCTTTACCCACTTCCTTCAACTTAAATATAAGTTGAAAGCATATGAACATTTAAATTGAAGGCCTCACAAAACACCCAAACCCCTACTACTACATATACATGCATACATTATCATTACCCATACGGCGAATAAATGTTCGACCTACACTGAAGTGGCGCTATACGGCCCACTCAATATACCCTGATACGGCCTTGGCGCTATACGTGCGCCAGACTCAGGTGCTTTGTTCAGCCAACAGCCTTGCCACAGCCTTGGTTCAGCCTGTTTACATTTTGCGACCTCCCGTCAGGGATCTACCGATACGATAGGAGCTAATAGATTCAGTAGAATACACATCTCCAGCATCTCCAGGACCTCCGTCTAAAGCTCCGTAGAGAAATCCCCAGTTCCACCAGACTCGAAACAAGTAGATCACTGGTTCTGCCCTCTGATTGGTCGAGAGACTGCAACGCACACTCCCCAGCATAGAAAGCTATCACCGACCACAGAGACTTCAACTGATACATCCCCATCACAAGAAGGGAACCATAGCTTTCGCGTGAAATATCTCCCGACGGAATTAACGGAGGGCGACGATATTGACTCAGTGTGCTCTTGGATGGTCTTAGTTGAGAATGAGTGGCTTATATGTAGCCGGAATGCATAGCAAAATCTTTTCTTTCTCCTTCCCTCTTCCCCTTTGGAGTTCCCCCGCCAGCAACACGAATGTTCCCCAGCTTTAGCGCAGTCGGTAGAGCATGGGACTCTTAATCCCAGGGTCGTGGGTTCGAGCCCCACGTTGGGCGATCTTTTCGGTAATTTTGCGGGATAAGTCGATGAAGTCACTCAGGCCCATGTATCCGATATATTGCTTAGATTAAAATTGTATCTACGAGAGACCTTCACGTGCCTACCGTTGTTATCATATTCTACGATACAACATGTACTAATTGTATTGAAGAATTTGCACACCACCTGAACACTCTTGAGACGAGCGATAAACTGCACCGATAAGCTCCACCTGCCCTTTGACCAGCCCGTTAGACACGTCATACTGTTATTCATGGTTTCGATTTTCCGGACGTGTTTTTATTGCTAGATTTTGAAAGCCATATTGAAAACTTGTAAGTCAATCGACCTCGGGGTCAGTTTGTTTTGTGTTCGTGCAGGGAACTGCATAAGTCAGGCCGTAGTCACTAGCATAGTAGCATACCTGTAACGTATTCGTTTTTCGTGACGTCATACTATAGTGTGAATTGTGCCCTTTTTCTGAGGAAATATCTTTAATAACTAGGGGAAGGTGGGGTAAAGCGGGGTAGTTAAGAAATGTCCTAAGTCTGCGCTTAATGTGCCGCATGGATCTCCAAGTAAATGGGCCTAGTAGAAAGGCCCTAACATTCCTGTTGATGACTTTTGTCTATGCCTGGTATAAAGTGACGGAGTTTGACCGTGAATAAGACGAGACACGTTTCTGATTTTAAAAATCATGGGGGTAACGTGAACCACTTGGTCCACTTTGCCCCATTTAGGCAGAAGAATGCAAGCCCGCCTGGACCGCTTTACCCCATTTTCAAATTTCTTGTTTGATCACGCATTGCAGACCACATGCGGCAAATAACGATTTCTGTTCTTTCTAGGTTCGTCAGACTTGAGTTTTTGAAGACTATCATCACTGGCAAGGGCATGGATGGTAGCGATTGTTAAATCTTTTGGTGAGAATATCTACCTTTATCTGAGGCAAAGTCTATGCAGTTACTTAAAGGGAGATAATGAGCTTTCTTTTTTCTTAAATAAAAATTACTCGACATCTATACTATTTCTACTGTAGTTTCTATAAAATATGAAAATTTCCTAGCACATTTTCGTATGTGAAAAAGGTTTTATTTTTGCAAAAAAGAAGCAGTACTTGCAGTACTTGTAACACCCACCGAAATGCGTTGTCCTTCTCTATAAAAAGTCGCAGTATATGGCGCTTTTGTTTCAAACAGCGACGCTTGGGTTTTGTTTATGTTATCGCCTTGTCGTTGCTTGGTTGTAAGGATTCTAATTTGAATTAGAGTTAATTCGGTTTAGAATTAATTAGATTCTAATTCGGGGGTACATAGTGCCTACTCTTCTTTGTTTCCAAGTATTATTTTGCGCCACAAATGAACGGCATGCGCCAGAAACGCAGCCAAATCTTGCGATTGCGACTACGAAATTCATTATTTTGGCGTCAGAGCCTGAAGCGAAAAATACAAGCATATTTATTTCAAAAAGACTTCAGGTTTGTCGAACGGTGTTATGAGAATTTTGATAACAGTACTGCATAAGTTTTTCAGTGATGCCGCAAAAGTGTTGTATCTATCTTCTTTCATTGTGCAGTCGGCGGGACCGATTCAAAATTGAGTCGTTGCTACTAAAATAGCAGCATATGGCGTCAGATGATGAACAGGAAAAATAGTTGCGTAAATTTAGACATAAACCACCCCCAAACCATGAATATCTTTTGAAGGCACTATAGACGACCATTAACTAACTAGATGTGATGAAGATCAAATGTAAGGAATACGCTCATTTTACAAAGTTACATGCAAGTACCAAAAAGTGATGTAAGTACTTATTCAACGGTCATTTTCAGCGCTCCCCGCTAACGTGACTTCAAGTTGAGATATTTGCGGCAAGGTACCGAATTGAGCAAAATGGTTTTAATTTACATTATAACTTGTTGTTTTGTCAGAAAATGGTCCTAACTCAGATTTTGTGGAAAAAGGTCATTATCTCCCTTTAAGTTCGTTTTTTTTTTTAGCTTGACCCTTACGGTAAACATCTTTTTGAACACAGCACGAGAATTACTGCCTGAATTACTGAGAAAAGTTAGCGCACTTTATACTGGAGATGTGAATAATGTTTTTAAAAAATTGGATCCCTCGACGCTCAAAGATCCCTTGATAAATAAGAGAGCTGGTAAATCCCTGATGACATTGGTTCCGAGCCGAGCGCTGAGCGACGACCACCAGCCGCCGCGCCGACAGACCAAGATCTGTGGGATCAGATCCGAGTCCATTTTTTTTTCTAATCCATACCAGAGGCTATGATTGATGACGAATCTTGTTTGCTATCTATTTCCGAGTAGGTACCAGTGCTTCAACTTAATAAGTCGAGCGAGTTGGGAGCTTGATTTGCGGCTTGATCATGGCTGCTTTGCGCCGACATAAGAAGTGCAAGGGAGTTTGGACTGCTTCTGGCTTATAAGGACAGCAACGTTCCATTTATTTATATCATACGTCATGCATTACCTATACAGTATACACCTATTCCACGACGAAATTTAATGTTTATAGCTCCGAGTGTTGTAAGCAGTGATGTAATGGGCGATGCGTCGATTTACAAATAACAGCAGCACGGTTCGCCGGTCGCCCAGCGTCAATGCATAATCGCCCTTGGATGCAACAAATACCTACCTGCAGCACTGGCGGATCCAGGGGGGGGGGGCCACCGGGGCCATGGCCCCCCCAAAAGCCTGAAAGGGGGGGCCAACATATCTTTTGGCCCCCCCCCCAAAACGCTTGGAGAAAAATTAATGTGAGAAGGTTGCGTAGTAGATACCTACTAGAATCAGCAGCGTGATTCAATAGCGTAGAGAAAGTCAGGGGCGCGGGAACTACTTTCAGACTGGGGGAGCACACCATAATAGAGATCAACCTAGGGTCCCCCCAAATCTAGTTTTCTCACCGGTTTTAGGCCACTTATTTTTCATCCCTTGGCTTTTTCAACAAAAAAAAGAAACAGTTGCAAAAAAGGACGGTATTCCGTTTGAAAGTTGTGGGGGCACTGGCGGATTCAAGGGGGCCACCGGGGCCATGGGCCCAAAAAGCCTGAAAGAGGGGGCCAACATATCTTTTGGCCCCCCAAAACGCTCGAAGAAAAATTAATGTGAGAAGGTTGTGTAGTAGATACTTACTAGAATCAGCAGCGTGATTCAATAGCGTAGAGAAACCCAGGGGCGCGGGAACTACTTTTAGACGGGGGGGGGGAGGTCACACCATGATAGAGATCAACCTAGGATCCCCCAAATATAGTTTTCTCGCCGGTTTTAGGCCACTTATTTTTCATCCCTTGGCTTTTTCAACAAAAAAAGAAAACATTTGCAAAAAGGAGCGGTATTCTGTCTGAAAGTTGTGGGGGCACCGCCCGCACGGCCCCAGAGTTGGGGGGGGGGGCAAGCTGCCACCACTGCCCCCTCCCCCCGGTTCCCGCGCCTATGGAGAAACTACCGGGTTTACTAGCTTCCTTCATAAAGTGTGGTCATGTCTTGTCGTCACCCGAGAAGGTCTTATTGCATAAATATCGATTGAGCTGTCAAGTTAACAAACTTGCTGTGGCAGCCTGACCTGACATGACCCGGCAACTTTTCATTCACGGAATATGCGCAATAAATTTTTTAGGAAAACTCACTGAGTTTTCGTTGAAAAAAAAACTTGTTTTGTTTCGTAATTGTACAAGAAGCATATGAGGGACCTTTTTGTCCCTTCCTGCGAAACGGTAAAAGACTTATTTCGGTCACAGCTCAGGCCAATCTCTAAGGGTCAGTCGGGTCACTTATTTCTTAAAAGGGTCCTTACGGCATCCAAGGACCAATTCCGGCTTTTGAGTGCGCCACATCAGCATTTGATGCTACGACAGATGTCGAAATCTGAATATATGTTACAGGCCGTATGAAAATTCGGTCCGTTTGCAAACGGCCTGGCCCAGTCAGGCCATATGAAACTACCTGAAAACACCGGCCGTTTGCAAACTATGACCTGAAATATCAGACCGTTTGAAAACGACCTAGTTAGTTTCGGCCAAGCGGATCCAGGGGGGCCACGGGGTCATGCCCCCAAGCCTGAAAGGGGAACAACATATATTTTTTGTCCCCAAAAACACTTAAGAAAAATGAATGTGAGAAGGGCGTAGTAGGTAGAGAGAAAATACCGTATCATTAAAAATATGTGAGCTTGATAAAAGTGTTGGTCTTGTCTTCACCCAAGAAGTTCTTATTGCACACTTTAACCATGGATGAAAGAACCTTCATCCCCTGGTTCTCCTTCATCCATGCTTTAACTCTCGATCGACGTGTGAAGTTATCGTGTAAGGTATCATGAAGCCGATCGCGACGAAACTTTAGTACCCTCATGGTGACAAAGTCTGAAAATTTCATGACCCTGACCCAAGTGAACTTTGACTTGTGGCCTATTTCTCGAGACTGTTTGGCCATGTTGGAGGCCATGTTTGGCCGGAATAGCGATTCGGCGTATGTCGGCTCACATTATCCGCGCTTTTATAGTCTTTTAGTGGTAAAACGCTCAAACATGTGATATGATGTTGCTCCCACGCATTAGGGCGGATACCAATGTCACCTTACGGTCAAGTCAGGTCATTGACCTTTGATGACCTCGGTGCACTTTTCCGAGTTTAACATGTTTCTAGGATAGTTTCGTTTAGCTGATTTTGAATTTAGCATTTTGCAGCCATTTGAACATTTACGAAGTAGTTTTGATGCCTTCGTATCATGTTACGTAGCTGCCAGTGGTAGTGGACACCTGCTATACGGACGCCCATAAGTACTCCTACTGGTTGATCTGACCTGACCTGCCCCGACGTGGTCTAAACGCATGAAGACATTATCTATGATCCAAACTAACATGAAATTTGTGATCAGCACAAAAAAACGTATTACAGCCTTACTTTAGGAGGTTCTGACAGGTCCTG